GGAACGGCGGAAAATGGGAAAGCAGTGGGAAAAACGATCGTCGCAGGAAGTAGTGCAGTTCCACGGGAGAGACGTTCCCCAAACCTAGTGAAGGCTGGCCAAACATTCAGAATTCGAGGAATACAGAGGAATGCCACCAGAAGGGGAATGACTCTGCGGGGGGAATGAGCAACGTCTCAAGAACGTAAGTGTCAGAGGATGTCAGCCAAAGTGAAAGTAGAAGAAGAAAAATGTTAGCGTAGCGCAGAGAGACGGGAAGGTCTCGGGGTTACTGCACAAAAGGGAAGCCCATCAGACTAACAGCAGATTCTCGGCACGAAAACTCCACAAGGCGGGAAGGATTGGGCCAGAGTATTCAAAGCCCTAACAGGAAGAAGAGTTTTCAAAACCAGAGTACAGAACAGAGTCCTCAGAAATAATACCACACATCTACAGCCATCTGATCTTTGACAAACCTGACAAAAACAAGAAATGGGAAAAGGATTCCCTAGCTAATAAATGGTGCTGGGAAAATTGGCTAGCCATAAGTAGAAAGCTGAAACTGGACCCTTTCCTTACCCCTTATATGAAAATTAATTCAAGATGGATTAGAGATTTAAATGTTAGACCTAAAACCATAAAAACCCTAGAAGAAAACCTAGGAAATACCATTCAGGTCATAGGCATGGGCAAGGACTTCATGTCTAAAACACCAAAAGCAATGGCAACAAAAGCCAAAATTAAAAGCGAGGTGCTTATTAAAAATACAGATTAGTAAGCCACAATCTGTAAGAAATAATGCTTTTCACCTTAAAGAGTCCTTTAGACAATTTCAAAAGGTAGCAGTTTGGGGAAGCATTGAACTAGATAATTTTGGAGATACCTCAGAGTTTTACAATTATAGGATTCTACACATTTTACAATCTCCATTAAATATATGCCTTTTGTAACTCCATATTTTGGCACTTAAGAACTTTGCACTAACTTTTGAAACTGTATCCCAAACTCTGTGGGAAGTTCCAAATGGCCTACCTGATTTCTCCAGGTCCCTGAGGCACACTTTCGCCTTGTCGTCGTTGACAAGTACTTTTTGATTCAGTAAAATTCTTGTCCTTTGCTCTGAATCTTGTGGCTGATTCTTCACTTTCTGCTCTGGTGTCAATTATGATCATCTGTTAATTCCTACACACAAAATAATTAATCACATTAAGGCCCACGGAGTGAACTTTATTGGAGACTTTGGCGGGGAGAGGTTAGGGGAGTTCCTGCAGAGATACAAACAGCTTTGGAATGAGTACAAGGCAAACCTGTTCCACAAGCCTTCAGCCAGAGACAAGTTACTCAGGCAGCCTCTCTCTCTGCCCTTCCTTCACGTATGATGCCGATGGGAAAAAACACAGGTACCTGAGTGACCAGGGTGGAAGACACAAAGAGGTGAGTTTGACATGGATGGTGAGGCACAGACGGACGGTTGGGGAGGATCAATAATCCTAGGAGGAGAAGCAGAGCAGGTTGGAGGCCCTGAAATCTGCTGTTTGTGGAGTAGCTGACTGAGTAGGGGATTGGCTGGGAATTAGGCTGGAGACATAGAGGCAGGGAGAAGTACCTTTGTGTTCAGGAGCTTCTGTGATCAGGCAAATTGGATTACAGAGTGTTAGTTATATTAAATAATGTTAGGATTGAGCACAATTACTTTATTTAGAAAAGCCGCAGATTTGAGTAGAAGGACATCAAAAGGTGGAGGACAGCATTTGAGCCATATTCAGACAAGCAAATAGATAGATACTTGGCTTTGTGAGAGCAAAGCTAAAAGCTCTGGTCAGCTTGTTGTATGTATTTGTGAACCCAAGAAACTTGAGATTTTTCCAAGTGTCTTCTCATTTGTTTGCTAGGCCAGTTCCCACTAAGGCAATTCCCTAAGTTACCGAGTACATGTTCTGACACTCAGAGTTTTTACTGAAGTCTCTTGTAATCCCCAAATTCCCTAGAAAAAATGTATTTCTACAGTTCATGCGTCATTGACATAGAATATCCTCTTATTTAGTTTCTGAACCAGAAACTGAAAACATGAAACAGTTCCAAAATGTCCTTCTAACTCAAGAACAGGATGGGTGCCCTTATTCTTTCCTTCCAGATCCTAATATCCTAGTGCTAACATTCAATATCTTAATGTCACTCCTAAAGTAGGACTTATCACTGATTCCATTTGTATTCTTGCCCCTCCCCATCCCATCCCAACTCCTACAAACACACACCACAATACACAACTAGATTCTAAGACTCTTGAAGGCAGGGACAATGTCTTCTCACTGTGGTTTCCCCAGAATCTTGTTCTCCTCCTGACTTCAGGTGATATATACCTATGTGACAAATGAATGGACAAATGAGCTGTGTCTGTGACTCTTCCAGGTGAGCATGGGACAACAAGGGAAGATGGGAGGCAATGAGGAGCATGTCCATGGTAAGAACTTGTGTCTGGAGGGCACGTATGCCCTCTGTGTTTGTGCCTGGATTGGGTACAGGGGTGGGGAATGACTCAAGGCTGAAGACAGCTAAGATATGTTTCTTTTGGGAGAAAATTCCTTTAGCTATCTTCTAAAAGATAGAGGGGTTGTGACCAGTAGGATATCACAGTGAAAGCCCTGGCACCATCTCTGCTCCTGGTCTGCTGTGTGATGTTGTGGAAAGTCTTTTGACTGCTCTGGCCTCAGTAAGAGAGCATAGTTGAGGCTCTGTCCTTTTCAACAGGGTGAGGACCAAGGGTATAGAGGATAGAGTAAACATGAATTACCAAAGAAAGTGTTGGAGAACAATGAGTAAGAGTTAAAATATTAGGAGAGCTCAAGGGAGAGAAAATGAGGGAGGGAGAAAGTGAGAAGAAAGGGAGACTGAGAGACAGAAGATGGGAAATGGAGACTGACTGATAATGACGAAGAGAGCACCTCTCTAACATGGTTCTGCTGTTGGATTTTACAAACTAAGATCCAAGTCAAGAAGGGGAGACGAACGGGGATTCACATGCATCATTTCCTCTCAATGACCGACTTACATGGTGATGTAAGAGCGGAGTGATGACAGAGCCCAGTGAGGGCACTTAGTTGGGAGAGAGATGACATCCTGACTGAACAGGAAAAGGGGGGGGGGTGGAATAAATCCCAATCATTTATTTCACATCCCACCTTAAAAGAAATGTCTCTGCCTACCTTCCATTTTGGCGGGGCACTACTTATTCAAATGATAAAGGACTCACTTGGTCAGGAAGCCGGCACTGCAGGACAGCCTGTGGATAAGGGGCATCATGAGTAGTTCAGTGTATGACAGGCTCTGTATGCAACATCCCACTTAATCCTCAAAGGAATCTTTAAGGTAGGTTAAACAGTTATTATCTGCATTTTTCAATATGAGGAAACTGAGGATAGCAGAGGTAAAGTAAGGTCAGAAATAATTACTGAGAAGAGCTATAAATGGAAAGGAGTGACTTTTGCCATACACTACAAAATAGTTGACTTGGAAATATTGTGTGGTACTAGGATGGGTAATGAGTCATGCTAGACTCTGTGACAGAAATGAACGAACTTTGAAATTTACCAAGAGAAGTGATACAAGAAGATTTTGGAAGGGTAGATTTGGAGAGCACCTCAGGGATTATCAAAATTCAACCCCCTTCATTTAAAATGTGACAAAAGTGAAGTTCAGAGATTTTCCTGTACATGGACTTCAGACAGCAGCAGGGCAGATGCCACCATTCAGGTGTTCCACCTTCCAGGTATGGGCAGCTCTTAACACCCTGTAGGTGCCTCTCTCCTAATCAGAATCAGAATCAGAATCAGAAGTCAATTAGTGGCTTTTGAATGGGACTAAGAAAATTTAGGAGCACTGGCTTTGTAATTTCCTTGCCCCTGTTAATACAATGGCAAAGGCTGGTATGGCCCAGTTGATTAGGAATAAAGTGTTAGGCTTTGATCTCTGGGGTGGGATGGTAGATTCCACTCTGTCTGCCACTGGCCTAGATAACTTTAGACCTTGAAGTCCCCAGAGCCCCTGCAGAGAGTAATGCCAGCCCTCAAATGCCCAGATCCGGATGGGCAGGGACAGAGATTTCAAAAGAAGTTGATCTTAGAGAAGTGAAAACCAATATATTGCCTCACCCTCTTAGGTTCTGTATACAAGGCTGACCTAAAAACAGTTGCCTTGTATCAGCTCAGCTTCCCAGAGATTGGCTCAAAATCACAGACAGGGGCCTTAGAAATGGCACCAAGATCTGAATTTTAGTCAGGAGACCCCCAGATCACATTCCTTATCTACCACCCAAGCTGACATGGTCTCTTATTCCCAGCCCTCTGAAAGCAACGACTTAGATTCACTAAAGATGTTCCACGTGCCAGCCACTCTGCTCAGCATGTATGCGGATTAGCTCATATAACCCTCTCAAGAACCCTCTGAGGAACCATGGATATTATTACTCCCATTTTACAGAAGAAGGAAATTAAGGCTCAGGGAGATTAAATAACTCCCCACAGCTACGCGGTTAGCCAGTGCAGAGGCGGTGGTTCAAACCCAGGGGCTGAGCTGACTCTAGCCCCCGCTCAGATCCTACTCCCACTTCCAAAGGGTGGTTTCTGGAAGACTTGTTAGAGAGCCCACCACAGTTGCAGTTGTCCAGAGTGGGAAGGCCAATGCGAAAGCAGGGGAAATAAATCCCTGTGCAGCCTGCATGTGTGCAGATGACCAGAGAGAGCTACTGTCAGATGAGGTAATGGCCTGAAACTATAAAGGGTTCCCCCTGGAGAAAGGGTCCTCAAGCTCTGGGACATCAACAGGGGCATGTGGTGGAACCAAAGGGGACAAGACTGGATGAGTAAGGACCACCCGGGACGGTAAATCTCTCATTAGATCACCTCAGTGAAGGTTTGCTTTAAAAAGCAAAAGTCGAACGCACTCTTCTCCTTGATTCAGAAGGCATCCAAGAGATCCATTTACCTAGGTATGCTGGCTTAGGTTTGAAAGCTTACAAATAATTTATTCTCGCAGGTTCAGCAGAGGACACCCAGTCCCGGCAGGTGCGCACGCTGAGGCTCATCCTTGTTGGGAGAACAGGGGCCGGAAAGAGCGCCACTGGGAACAGCATCCTGGGCAAGAGACGGTTCCTCTCCCGGCTGGGGCCACATCTGTGACCAGGGCCTGCACCACGGCCAGCCGCAGGTGGGACAAGTGGCATGTGGAAGTAGTGGACACTCTGGACATTTTCAGCTCCGAAGTGCCTAAGACAGACCCCGGCTGTGAGGAGAGAGGTCGCTGCTACCTGCTCTCGGCCCCCGGGCCCCACGCGCTGCTCCTGGTGACCCAGCTGGACGGTCATCGTCTTCACCAGGAAGGAGGACCTGACGGGGGGCTCCCTGCAGGATTACGTGTGCAGCACAGAGAACCAGGCCCTCCGCAAGCTGGTGGCCGAGTGCAGGGGCCGGGTCTGTGCCTTTGACAACCGGGCCACTGGCCGGGAGCAGGAGGTTCAGGCGGAGCAGCTTCTGGGGCTGGTGGAGGGCCTGGTGCGGGAGCACGAGGGCGCCCACTACTCCAACGAGTTGTACGAGCTGGCGCATCTCCTGCGCTGGGCTGGCCCGGAGGAGCGTCTCTGGAGGGTGGCGGAGGGCGTGGCCGCCCGCATGCGGAGGAGGCCGTGGGGCGCCTGGCTGCGGGCCGGGTTGTGGGCGTGGCCGAAGCCGTCCTGGAGCTGGAGGCTGGGCCTGGCCCTGCTGCTGGGCGGCGCACTCCTGTTCTGCGTGCTGCTCCACAGGCGCTGGTCGGCGGCCTTTGCTGAGGTCAGATCTGACTGACAGATTGTAAACGTGGCTCTGACCCCTCAGCTGATAATCGCATTCATCTTCCTCACTTGGTGTTCAGAGCTCACAGACTCTCCTCTCCTCCCTCACCTCGCCTTAATCCACCACCGTGAGAGTTCTGCCGAGACCCATCTCCCACCAAAACCGTCTCATACCACCCAGCCTCCCTGAGCATTCTCACTACTGAAGCCAAAGACCACTGTTGCTTTGCCTCTTCTCCAGTGGCCTTGGCTGTCTTTCCCTGCACTGAGTTTTCTTCTCTCCAGAGAACAGATGAGGGGTGCTTGTCCCCCATTCCCTGCAGTCCCCACAGGACCACAAGCAAGAACCATCCCAACGCAGAGCTTCAGTCCTTTGCACCCTTGTTTATTCGAATGGAATTTATTTCCATAAATAAATATACTGCGTGATCACATTGTGTCAAAGGAAATCAGTCTTTGTGGATGTTTGCTCATCTGTCTTACATGCCCCCTGAAAAAAGACATGACTCTGTCATCCTTACCAGCAAAAACATGCACAGAAACACACACACACAAACATACATTCTTGTGTGTAACCATAAAAGAAAGTATGTTGGTGTAAATTTGCCATCTGCACTAGTTGGGGAGTGTCTCCCCATGCATCCCCACTCAGACACCTCAACAGTTGAATGCAGATGATTCTGCAAGTCCAAGGAGAATATAACTAGAGGCTCAATTCCCAGGGTTTATTGAGGGCTTGCACAAAGCTTACTTCAAGGAGGCTTATATACTCACAGGGTAGGTTATGCAAGATGAATTAGTTATTGAGATCTGTTCAACTCAAAGATAAATAAAAAAAATTAAGAGGTTTGGAAATTTTTATTTTACTAAAAAGGGGCAAACAGGTTTTTGTGGACTGAGAACCAGTGATACGATGATGGAATAGAGACTCCTCTTCTGACCCACACATACCTGGGAGAATCAGATTTCTGGTCCAGGTAAAATGAGGCAGGTTAGCTTGTGCTGTCTACCCCTACAGTTCCTCCATATTCCTCCACCCATATTGACTTTGTCTCCAACCCCACCACTCTCACCCACAGATTCCAGCTCATCTCTTTGGTGTTGCTCTGTAATTCCAAACCTCTCCCCTACAACATCTACCACCCATTGCATTCACAGCCAGAGAGACCCAGGTTACTGATGGCCTCGATGACTGAAGAGACAAGCAAAAAGGGAAAATAAGCTGCAACACCTGAGCTCATGCTGGAGAGCAAGCGCACAAGTCCCTCCTGGAAGCCATTGCACACATCAACAGGAACACCAGTGCCAATTGCTGAGACTTGACGTTTCCTCAGCAGCAGGGGCTTTTAGGGAGTTGGCTTAGGGAGTTGTGAACAGATCTTAGCAGAGGCCTTGGTAGGAAATCACTTTTCAATATACTCTTGCCGCGAACAAGCAGAGAAAAGTTCTGCCATTGGCAGCCTGAAGAGAAAGGGAATGATCATTGATGAAAATAAGTGTGAAAAAAGAATAGCAAAGTGCCCAATGTAAGCAGTTGAAGGTTTTAACCCTTGACCCAAATCAAGTGAGAAAAACTAGATTCTTGCTCTTTGGTTGAGGAGGAATGGGCCCAGGCAATTCCTAAGGGGCAGTGACTCAGCTGGTGGGAATGTGGAAGGAGCACTCCAGGAATCCCAGAGAGGAAGTTGATTATCTGGTTCAACTGACACCCAGCTAGGGCTGAATGCAGGACATGCTAGGGAAAAGAGTGTGTTTAGTATGCAGTGTGTTACAAGGCTGTCTGTAAGTAGTGGGATATACCCAAAAGGATAAAGGATGTCATGAAAAATACCTGAAACAAATTAATGGGTAAAAACAACCTACAGTGCGGAGACAACTGTATATCCACATACGAAAGAATGTTGGACCCCCTACCTCACACTATATGCAAATATTAACTCAAAGCAGATCAAATACCCAAATATAAGAGTTAAAATGATTAAAGTCTTAAAAAGAAAACAGGTGTGTAGCTTCATGCCCTAGGACTAGGCAACAGTTTCTTAGATATGACACCAAAAGCACAAGCAACCGAGGAGAAATAGATACATTAGGTTTTCTGAAGTTTTAGTAAGGTGTACTTGACAAATAAAGATTTTATATACTTAAGGCATATAATTTGGTGTTTTGATATGCATATATGTTGTAAAATATCACCACATAGTTACCTTTGTGCGTGGTGAGAACACGTAAGATCTACCCTTTTAGCAAACTCCAAGGACAGTAAGGAATTGCTTAATGACTGGTATGTGTTCAGAGATATGCATTATTAGGCAATTTTGGCATTGTGCAAACATTATAGAGTGTATTTACACAAACCTAGTTGGTATAGCCTACTACATACCTGGGTTATATGGCATAACCTATTATTTCTAGGCTCCAGAGAGAATGGAGTCCTCACTCTGTAGAGAAGGGAACAGAGGTGGCACACCTTTGAGAGATATATCAAGCTCTGCTTCCATCATAGTGTAGGGTTATATCCAGATTTCTCACCAGAAACCATGGTGGCCAGAAGTGACACAACATTTTTCAAGTGTTGAGAGAAAAGGGTTGTACAGCATGTTACTGTACCGAATACTGTAGGCAATTATGACACAATGGTAAGTATTTTTGTATGTAAACACATGTAAACATAGAGACATAGAAAAGGCATAATAAAAATACAGTATAAAACATAAAAAATGGTACACCTGTATAGGGCATTTACCATGAATGGAGCATGCAGGACTGGAAGTTGCTGTGGGTAAGCTAGTGAGTAAGTGAATGGTGAGTGAATGTGAAGGCCTAGGACATTACTGTACACTACTGTAGACTTCGTAAACACTGTACACTTAGGCTACAATAAATTTATTTTAAAAATAAAGTAATTACACTATGATGTTATGACAGCTAACATATTACTAGGCGATAGAAATTTTCAGCTCCATTATAATCTTAGAGGACAACCATCATATATGTGATTCATCATTAATTGACCAAAACATCATTATGCATCACATGACTACAACACTGTTAACTATAGTCATACAACTTTGTTAACTATACACATGTTAACTATAGTCACATTGATTACATTAGAGCTCCATAGCTAACATTTTTCACTCTTTGACCAATATTGCCATATTTTTCATTTGCTTTAGCCCCAGGCAACCACCATTCTGTGAGTTTGACTATTTTAGACGTCACAAATGAGTAAGACCATGCATTATTTGTCTCTCTGTGTTCAACCTATTTCATTTAGCATAATGACTGGATTTCTTCAAAATTAAAAATTTTCCCTATCAAAGAATGCCACTAGGAAAATGAAAAGACAACCCCTAGAATAAAGCAAAATATTTGAAAATAATATATCTGTAAAGACCAAGTATCAGAATATATAAAGAATTCTTACAACTCTAAAAATGACAAATACTTCAATTTAAAAATGGGCAAAAGATTTGAATAGACATTTCTCCAAGGAAGATACAAAAATGGCCAATAAACATATGGAAAGATGCTCATTATTATTGGTCATTAAGCAATGCAAATCAACAACCAAAATAAGATGCCACATCAGATCCACTGGGATGGTTATAATATTTTTAATGAAAAAATTAACAAATATTGATGAGGATGTGAGGAAATTAAACCCTTATACATTTCTAGTGGCTATATAAAATGGTACCACTGCTGTGAAAAAAAATTTGGCATTTCTTCAAAAAGTTAGACATAGACTTACCATATGACTCAGTAATTCCATTCTTTGTATGTGCCCGAGAGAAGTGAAGGCATACGCTCATACAGAAACTTCTGCATGGATATTCACAGCAGCACTACTCATAATAACCCCAAAGTGGAAACAACACAAATGTCTATCAACTGATGAATGGACAAACAAATATGGCATATTCATACAATGGAATGTTATCTACCCATAAAAAGCAATGAAATACAAGTACATGCTACAACATGAATGAACCTTGAAAGTACTATTCTAGGAAAAAGAAGACTGACACAAAAGATCATATAAATACATTATTCCACTTACATGAAACCTCCAGAACCAGGGTGGACTCATAAGAGTGTTCTTCAGAGGATTTTAACTTTAGTTTCTTGCATTCTGTTGACATTTATATTCTGCTTCACTTTTTAAGTTTTTCTCTACTCTTATGGTTGAATTATGTTCCCCGCAGAAAAGATATATTGAAGTCCTAACTCCCATGCCTGTGAATGTGACCTTTTTGGAAACAAGGTCTTTGCAAATTTAATCAATTTAATCAAGTTCATATTTAGTTGAGTTAAAATTAAAGTCATAAGAGTTAGACTTAATTCAATTTAATAGGTATCTTTATAACAAGAGGAAGATTTGGACAGAGACACATGCAGAGAAAAGACAGCCATGTGAAGTCGAGGCAGAGATTTAGAGTTTTACTACCACAAGCCAAGAAACACCTGGATCTATCAGAAACTGAAAGAGGCAAGCAAGGATTTTCCTTCGGCGACTTCAGAGGGAGCACAGCCTTAACAACACCTTGATTTCAGACTCTGGACCTCTTGAACGGTGAGAGAATCAATTTTTATTGTTAAAGTCACCAAGTTTGTGATACTCTGTTATGGCAGCCCTAGGAAACCAGTATATCCTCCATGTTGAGATTCTCTAGTTAATCTTGGTCAACACTAATAATTATATGTTGATGCCATTCCGGGGATGAAAGGGAAGGTAGTATATAAGTGTGGGTAGGCAGGGCAGTGAGGGGAATACAGGCTGCCTCCAACCACCCTCCTCTGAGAAAAGCACGATGGTAGCAGCAGTGACCAAGGGAGCGCATTGATCCTGAAGGACCAGGTGCTGACCAAAACCAAAGCAAGGCAAGGCCCACTATAGAACTAAGGGACATTCAAGCACAAAGTGATCCTGGAGAAGCAAATACACAAGGAAAAACTTAAAAGTCCTATGACACTTATACTCCCGACACATAAATATATTGGGATGGGGAAAAGGTGCCTAAAATCTGTAGAGAGAGAACAGAGGTGGCACATCTTTGAGAGGTATATCAAGCTCTGCTTCTATCATAGTGTAGGATTATATCCTGATTTCTCACCAGAAATCATGGTGGCCAGAAGTAAGTGACACAACATTTTTCAAGTGTTGAGAGAAAAGGATTGTCAACCCCAAATCCTATAGCCAGAGAAAACATTTTTCATGAATAAAAGAGGAGTCAAGGTATTATTAGATGAAAAGAAATTACGAGAATTTGTCACCAGCAGACCTCTCTGCAAGACTAAAAGAAGTCCTGTACACAAATAGGAAACAATGCAAGAAGGAACTTGGAACAGTAGGACGGAAGAAAGAACT